AAGCTTCTGAATTTAAAGTGCACTGACATTTCTTGAACTTTCAAATCATATCGATTTTTTTTGACAGAAATCGGATGCTACTTTTTTCAAGCTGTGTTTGCTTCTCATCAGGTGATTTTGTTTTGTAAATTGTGTTAGCACAGATATCCTTTCAAGCCTTCTTTATGACACGGCAAAACATTCTCCTTTTGTCCTGTCTCATTGGTCGGCCTCACAATGATGCGAGCAATGGATCCTTGCGTATGTTTCTTTAAGTTTATTGGTATCTGAAGGATCTTTTACTTAAGAGTACATGGTTTTATGATCCCTGCTAAAAATACAGCTGAAGTTTAAAAGATCTAAAAGATCAAGATACCTTTTCTATTTACCTTCACAAAAGTAGCAGATAATATTGTTTTTTCAACATTTGAAGTACGTACCGCAAAACCAAGCCAACTGCCCGGAAAGAATACAAAATCTGGTAACATGGATCATACTGGATTGACAAACATAACCAAGACTCTTACTGTTGAAAAATCCAACCACCTTTGCTACATTGTAAGTTCTTAAACTATAATATTTTCAGAATACCGATGAAATATGTATACATTCCTAAAGTTTGTTTTGGTTCTGCACGAGTGTCTTTTCAGAACTCATCAGCAAAGAGTCACAAAAAACAGTTAAGTTGCACCTCAAAATACTCAGACGTGTGCTTCCAATGAAAGCTTTTGGTCTGCAAGCAGTTTTGTCATGTTGCCATCTCTGGTAATCAGGGGCATGGGAATATTGATAGTAGTCCTGGGTATTTGTCTGTCTGATTGATGAGTTGAAGGAGCAGGAGGCAATGCAAATTACTCACAAGACTGGGACACATGCTACATTTTTGGCTGCCAACAGCTGCTGGCAGCATGGCTACTGGCAAACAAACAGCAGTGGAAGGTAAGGATGCCTAACAACAAAATTACCCTGGTTTGAAGAACTGTCTCCACAGGAGATGGGATGGGATGGCACTGTTGGGAAGAAATGGAGATGGCAGGAGTGGGATGGAAATAGCATGGAATGGCGGATAAAATGATGGAATTGGTCAAGTGTGGGAAAATCACAAGGATAATTATATGATCCAACTTATTCAAAAATGACTCTTTTTTGCTAAACATGAGAAAATCACTAGATTTGAACTAAAGGAAAGAATTTTCCCATTTTTTGGTGTTTTCAAGTAGGATTCATTACAATTGATTCACCATGGCCCTTGTTGGCTTTTTTCATGCAATCTTCTGTTCTGCATCTTATTAATTTGGTAATTGGCCTTTTTGGCACCAACCTTACATGCAGGGGAGGCAGAAGTGATGGCTGCTGCCAGTACTTCCACTATCCACGCTACTGGCACCACATTTAAGTCTCAGTTGCACAGCACTTCAGTTGGTGCAAACAAGGAATTGGCCTTCATAGTGGGGTTTCAACATTGGTCCTGGGAAAATGGCCCAGTAAAGCAAGTTACCTCCATGCTTTGCACACAGGTATCTCAAGATGCCTGGGATGAAGTGGAGGTAAGGGCCACCTTCTTATGACCAGCAAAGGAAGCCAGACCACCAGACTCAGCCAGGCTAGACATCGATCACAGCCTGGATCAGTACAGTGACTGGGATTAAAAGAAATGCCCAGCAATGCAGCGATAAGGCTAATATTGGATTTTATGTAAATGGTTAGTGCCATCATTTTCGGCTACCTCACAATCAGGGCCACTGCGCCTGCATCTCACGAAGACTGAATGACTTTAACTCTATCTAATGTAGTATGTCCTCTCAACCACCTCATCCTTTCATTCTACTCTTTCTTACTGTCACTCTGTGCTTCCTACTCAGTCACTGAGAACATCTCACTCCTTCTGCACCTGCATTACCACTAACTGCCCTTTCATTATATTCAAAACCCTCCATGTCTCAGTCTAGGTAAAAGTGGCCCAACCTTGAAAGTAATGCCTCCACAGGACCTTGACTGACCTAGCTGTAATCCCTCTACTGGTTGCACTTTTCTTGCCGTACTGACCGTTGTCCAATTGGTGGACTGTAAGGATACAGATACCCAGACTCTGATCGGACCAACCCCCTTGACCGAGTTTCGATGATCCTCTTGACTGACCATATTCCCATTTGACTTTCAGGCATGACCATTTGGTTGAAGCCCATGCAGTGAGTTTATCACATGAGCTACTGACCCATGCTGTAGGTATGGCAATGACGTTGCTGCAAGACTCAGTGTGACATACCAATCCCGGCAAACGTACAGAGCTCCGACCTGTGACAAGCTGCATGCCTATCTATTTCCCTCTGCACTAAAGGGCAATGCAATTCAGAGAGGCTGGTAACCCCCAAGTAAACATAAAGTAAGCAAGTGCTAAGAAAGTAAGCCCAAGAACCTTAAGATGCACTCTTATGTAGATGCATGAGATGTGTCTGTCACTGTAGGCAAAGTGACCTGCCAGAAGCATGCAAGCCATTTATATCCCTGAACTCTAAAATGAAGTGTTTAAGGTTTGAAAGTAGCTGTGATGAAGTGGTGACACTGGTGGTTTGGTGATGTTACCTGTGTGGACTGAAGCTGGAAGACGACGGTGTCTGTGGACCATGAAGGGACATTGCAGTGGAGAGAGTTAGATGGATGCCCAGAGAAGCAAAATGCTGCTAGGTAACCACTCTTGATTTTAATGTTGAGAATTGGCACTGTTTAGTTTCTGGAGGACAGAATTGGAAGCTGCATAAAATGGGCAAGTCTAGCTAACAATGAGAAGCAAGTGTATTGAAATAAGATTGTCATTGCTCATTAGCGAGATTCTGAACTTGGCATTTAAACATTAAGGAGAAAATCAGAATGATTTTTTTCTCAACGTAAAGAATTTTTTTCCATATATTTGCCATATTGTGTCAACTTTCTTGCCATTGCCCACACAACTCAGAGGAGGAGGAAATCACACCCAAAGTTTTAGAAAAGCTGACAGTGAATTTATAAAATACATCAGCGTTGATTCTACAGCAAGGATAATGTTAATATTTTATATCCTCTTGAGTTTCTATACAGTCAGATTCCAATAAGCAGACCATCACACAACTTTAGATCCTGATGATTTTTGTTCCCAATTTGGGTATGCAGAGGTGAGATGATTGCCTAGTCTGAAAATCCAGCCTTTAAAACGTTTGTTTGCTTTCCCAGTTTTAATCTGGTGGAATGGGCTGGATTGAAGTTAGACTAGGAAGAGCTGGGGAGACTGTCAGTCCCCCTGGTAGATTGGGCAGAAAGCCTGCTTTGGGGTTCCACCACTATGGTCAGAGATCAAAATGAAAAAAAAGGTGAAATATTCCTCCAGCCCTCATTTTTCACCCCCACACACTGCCCAAGTTCTGTTCATACCCATCCCTTACACCATCTCTACCCCTCCATTCTGCATACTTTCCTACTTCATCTATCGTGCCAAATCACCTGGTATCCACAATCATCCATGTAATTCACGAGTAAAATTATTTAGAAGTTCCATATTGCAAACTAAACTCTATCGAGGTAAGCATTCATTCATAAAAACACTGACAGTTCAAGGTCTCAACACTTTTAAATAGGTCTTTTACACATTTGATCATTCCAAAGGTACCATTTTACACACCATCTTCTTAACAGATAATCCCCCCAAACAGAACCGAAAGATCCCACCTAACAGCAACATAAAACATCAATTCCAAAAACTTTATCAAACACTGTAGTTAATAATAAAGATTTTAAATTAAGTACTTCTTGTGAGCAATTTTGTTTGCCCTTTATCATATGACCCTAAAAGTTGTGTTTAACAAGCAATCATGAATTTGAACTCCCCTTTTAAACAAATACTCTTGTAAAAGGGAATGAATGTGTGTATTCTATGCAATTTGGCTCTAGATGAACAAATTTCTAAAATATAATCACATGAAAGCACAAAACAACATTTCATCTTGGCTTTCTCCATTCCAAAGACAATACTCCCTAGCCTTTGACTTTCAATGTAATTATCATTTCCAATTCTAGTTTCATACTAGATTTCATTCTCCCGCTCACTTCTGTATTCAGTTGTGTGCCATAATGATGCTAGACATTTTCTTAAAATAGCCTTTCCAACCTGCACTCTCCCTCAAGAGTCATAAAGCTCTACAGCACACCTGGATTTCTCTCTTTTCATACTTTTGCTTTTTTTCCCCCCCTAAACTATTAAATCACATATCTGCCACAGCCTTCTACACAATAGAATCTCTTTTTTCAAATCACTATTTTCTATAGCCTCTACCTTTGTACAGTCAGCAAATGTATTGACTGTGCTTCCCAAATCCAAGACATCTATAAATTTTGAAAACACAATTGGCCACACCACTGATTTCTTTCGCACATTATTTCTAAATCTTCTCTAATTCAAGCATCCACATATTGAAGCCGTTTGCTTCCAGTTTGTTAATCCACATTCCCTCTGTTCTTTAGGACAGTTCTTTTTTCCTTAAATCCCCAAGCTTTCCAATAAACTAAGAGGACTGTCTCATACTGCACCACAGGAGTGGAGTGGGTGGGGTTTGGTCAAACTTGCTCATCATCATCTTAATGCTTTTGCTGATATGATCACAATAAAGTGTTAGAAAAACTGCTTTGACAGTTAAAGCAGGTGTGGAGTTGGACATGTTCCAATTCCTTAATTTTGCCAGCCACCGATATAATCAACATCTTGCAGGAAATTCCCTTCAATTTTGTCACTGCAGATGTTGATGCTGTTTGGGCAATATGTGTCCTTTGTTAAAACAGTGCTTTATTGTTCACTAATTTTGTGTTATTTACTACATGCTGCACTAAGAATGAGATTTTAATTTCTTGAATTATTTTGAGATTTTGTGATGAAAATCCATAAAATTGAAGGCTGGAGAAGTTTTAAACTTTTACTTGTGAATAGTTTGGTTTAAAATTACAATATTAATAATCCATTCCACATTGTAAAAACTACAAAAAGTTACATTTTAATATTGATTTACAAAGATTCTGCTTTATTTTTATAACATGGTGATAATGTACATCCAAAAGTATTTTACAAGACAAGAATTGTTAAAACCATGTAATGTATATAGACCACAATCGGGTAAACAGCTACTGGTGGTCAACTTTATTTAAGAGGTAGTTACCATTACTTAAAATGAGTACATAAAAGAATACCCCTTTATATTTTCATCCAATAATTTACAATACAAATTTGAAAATGTGTCATATGCACAGTATCTACAACCCATTCCTGAAATTTCAGTTTGGAAGTAATTTTTGGCATCTTCTAACCTCCTGAGGAACTACAAGTGATGAATCCGAAAGTATGGTATTCACATTTGTTTATGCTAACTGAGTGGAGCTTCTGTTTATTCTTCAATGCAGGCAAGTGTTAAGTTACTCAGCAGGGAACATGTGAAGAAACAGCAATACAATCTGGCAGTGAATTTTCCATTAAGAGACACAACTGTAAATATAAGCAAACAGCTACTTTAAAGGACAAAAACACAGCAAAATTGCATGACTATTAGACAGAATGCACCATAAAAATAGTAGCTATTTTTTAAAAATAAATCTTTCTTGTCAATAAGTTTATAAACACCGTTGTTATATACCAAACACATACACACATAAAATTAATCTGTTTGGGCGATTCTCTTTTTGTAAGAACAGATGGCTCAAAATAAAACTGACTGAATGTGATTCCCTTTTCTTTTGACAACTGTCAGATTGAAGAAAAAGTGCTTCCCAGAATAAAAGTTCACACGAGGAAAAGTTAGTTTGTTTCTAAGTGTTCATACATGTACCTTCTTGGCATTTAAGTCTTCTGCAATTAGTCTTTGATCCTTGGGTTATTATACGCATAGTGAACCAAAGGAAATCCCCGACTTTGATAGAAGCAGGCTCTCCCACAGGCCTGTACTTGGTCGGAACTATCTGAAACAAAGGAGTCTCCCTCATCAGCATATTCTGAATGAGCAGACTGAGTCCCACAGTCTGACCAGTAGCCGTTGGGCCGCTGGCAAGGTACCACAGCCAGGGCTGGGCAGCTATGTGACTTCACTAAGTGTTTGCATGTTGAAGGTTTCGTCAATAACAATGATTCGCAACAGTCACAAACAGTGAGATTACCCTGTAGGTGGGTATACACTCCGCAGTCATAGAAGAATTCCGGTGACACACAGCTGCTTTGAGCATTTACTGTAACTGCAACAGATTTGTCTTTTTGTTTTGGGTGCCATTTCAACATATTCCAGTCTTCTCTGAATCGTGGGTTGAAGAAAACATACAGAACAGGGTTCAGACAAGCAGGCAATGGAAAGAAGATTAGTGTTACAGATTTCATTATTTCAGGGCTGATGGAAATTGCACTGATAAGAGGTGCAAATGAAAAAAAAGCAACAGGACAGAAGAAAATGCAGTTGGTGAAAATTAACCAGGCAACATGCTTAATCATACTTGACTGAGAATTTTCTGCAAGATCCTCTTTTTCCAAGTTGCAGTAGAGCTTTGTGTAGACAACTGCCATTAGCAGGAAGGCTATTGAGTTTAGCAACACCAGAGTTACTGTATAACCCAGGGAAGGAGACTCACCAGTGGGGAAGGGCAAACAGAGCGGAGATGCTGAGAATTCTCCAATATGAAACCATGGAAGGCAAGCTATTACTGCAGCAACCAAGACAGCAAAGGCAGCAGCTATCTGAAAATGTATCAAACGATGGCTTTTCCCTTTTTTGATTAAGTCACGTGTAGTCAGAGTCCGTTCAAAAGATGCCAGGGTAAGGAAGAAAATGGATGCTTCGGAAGAGAACATGGCAAGGAATCCAGCAACTTTGCAGCCACTTCCTGTCTCCCACCAGGCACCAAATCGAGCAAATTTTCCCCAAGAGACTGAATCTAGGATAGTCAGGGTACCAGTATACACTCCCATTAAGAGATTGGCTGCTGCAATTAGACCCACAAACAGCTTTGCAGAAGACAATGGCGCACGTGATGCAAACGTTGTTAAGACAACGACTATGTTGAAAATTAGTGCCACTAGAAAGATGAACCATACAGTCAGACGAATCATCCAGCTTCCCAACAATTGTTGACATGGTTTGAATGCACCTGGTGGAGATAAAATTATACTCATTACTAAAGGATAATAGGTTTACAGAAGTGGGTTTGTTGACATATATTCAAGTAGAACAGCATCTTTTAGGGAAAAAATCCATAATTTTCTAAATACAATAATTCTGAAACACTAGCATATTTATTCCATCTTGAAACTACAATGTTCTTTCATGTTCACAAAAAAAAACTCAGAAATAATTCCTCATCTGTCTGAAATGGGCCACCTCGTACTCTTAGAAAAGAGGAGCAGAACTGTTCACAGTATTCCAGCTGTGGTCTTTTATAGTACTGGCAGGACTTCACTAATATTATAACCTATTCTCCTTGAAAAAGGCCATTTTTCTTCCCAATTACCTGAATGTGGATGCCTGCATTGTGATTCATCCACGAGGACCCCCAAATCCCTCTGTGCTACAACATTCTGCAGTCTTCACTGATTTAAACAATATTTAGCCTTTCTATTCTTCCTGCCACAGTGCACAACCTCACATTTTCCCACATTATATTATATTTGCCAAGTATTTTTCCACTCACTTACCCATTCATATCCCTCCATAGTGTCATCCTCAACAACTGCTTTCCAATTTTTGTGTCACCTGCAAATTTGGCGATAGTACATCCACTTCTGCCATCCAAGTCATTAATATATATTGTAAATGATTGTAGCCCCAGTACTGATCACTGTGGCACTCCACTAGTTACAAGTTGCCATCCTGAAAATGCCCCCTTAAATCAACTCTGTCTTCAATTAGTCAGCCAATCTTCCATCCACACTAATGTACTAGCCCCAACACCATGGGCCTTTTAAAAGAAAAAAAAAATCACTGGTGGGATGTGGACATCGTTGGCTGGGCCAGCCTTTACTGCCTGTCCTTAGTAGCTCTTGAGAAGGTGGAGGTCATTTGTCTCCTTGAACTGCTGTAGTCCATGTGCTGATCTTATTAAGTAGTCTTATGCGTGGTAACTTATTTTTGAAGTCCAAATATATTAAGTTTACTGGTTTCCCTCTATTTATCTTATTTATTTGTTACTTACTCAAATAATTCTCAGATTTGCCAGGCATAACTTCCCCTTCATGGAGCCATGTTGACTCTGGTTGATTATCTTATGCAGTTCTAGATTTCTATTTCTAAATTTCTATTACATTCTTTACAATCAACTCTAGCATTTTGCCAATAACAAATGTTAAGCTAACTGGCCTATAGCTAGCTTCTTTATCATCTTTTGCCCTATTTCAATAAGAATATTAGTTTTCCAAAACTCTGGGACTTCCGAATCTACCAGTTCCTTGGAGATTATTACTTGTGCATGAGATCAGTTGGCTGAACAGCTGTTTTGATACAGAGCAATGCCAACAGCATGGGTTCAATTCCTGCATCAGCTGAGGTTACCATGAAGGGTTCTCCTTCTCAACCTCTCCCCTTGCCTGAGGTTTTCTGACCCTCAGGTTAAACCACCACCAGTCATCTCTCTCTAAAAAGAATGTAGCCCTATGGTCTGGTAGGATTATGTTGACTTTACCTTTACTACCAGTGATTCCATCACGGTAGCCAGTTCCTTTAAAAAAAGGTGGTGGATTTTCTTGCTAGACAGTGGAATCAAGGGTTATTGGAGTAGATGAAAAAGAAACTCAAAACACAAACAAACCAGCCATGATTTTACTGAATGGTAGACCAGGCTCCAAGGGTCAAATGGTCTACTTCTGCTTCTATTTCATATGTTTCACTAATGCTGCACCAAAGGGAGCACGAGCACAGCAAGGAAGTTTTAAACTCAATATGACTGTCCTCAGGTGAATACTTGTAGGTGGATAATAGATGTTCCTTCTTGGATAAGATACATGAACTATTCTAGAAGAATTCAGTGCTTTCTCAACTTCAGGCCTAGAGAATTGGTGTTCTTGCCACATTTTCTTAGCTGAACTGAACAAACACAGCAATGGAAGCACAACCGGCTTCAGATTTTGTTGAATTTGACTGAATTAATTAAGTGATTATTAGCATTTGACAACAAATGTGCTGTGTTGTAAACAGTATAAAATTCTCAAATGTGGTTAAGATAATTACTCCAGCTGCTGTCTGGAGATGAGCTAATTGAAAGAATGTTGGATTACTGCTCAGTATCGTTCTTAATTGAGAGTACCATTTCCAACCAGCTCCTTTTAAAATACTCTCCTTATGGCACATGACACCTTCAACTATTTCAGTTCAGACCAGAAAGGTCACCTAAAAAACAAATCAGCTTCAGAGGAAAATAGTTTTAAGTGATTTAAGTATCCATTAAGAAAGCATGCAAAGTAATTTGAATATATAATTTTGTGAACAGTACCTGGAGATGGAGTACAGTGCACTGTGGATGGGATCTTGTCTTCTTCGTTTTTAATCTCAACATCCACACTTTGACCTGAAGAAAAGATAAGAGAAAGTTTGATGATTTTCCATTTCAATACCATAAACACTTGCATAAAGATTAACTGCAATCCATTTTTGCAGGATTGAGCATGCTACCGTGATGTCATTTTCTCCACCTTGCAGCTTATGCTGATTTGTGCCATCAATATCTACAATTATAGTAGTTCAAGATTGCCAGTCATCCAGGGACCGAACTTTTAACAGCAAATGGAAATGATTTGGTAATTGAGGGACCAGTAATTAGACATTTTGATTTGTGTGAAAACAGAAAACTACAGGCCAGTTAGTTTAGTGTCTATCAAAGATGTTACAAGCTGTTATTAAAGAAGTTATAACAAAGCAATTAGAGAAGTGTCACAGGTAAGGAAGGGGAAATCATGTTGAAGCAACAAAAACAAAGTTGCTGGAAAAGCTCAGCAGGTTTGGCAGCATCTGTGAAGGAAAAAACAGAGTTAATGTTTCGGGTCCAATGACCCTCCCTCAGAACTGAGAAAGTTCTGAGGAAGGGTCACCGTCAGTTCTGAGGAAGGATCACCAGACTCGAAACGTTAACTCTGTTCTTTCCCTTCATAGATGCTGCCAGACCTGCTGAGCTTTTCCAGCAACTTTGTTTTTGTTCTTGATTTACAGCATCCGCAATTCTTTCAAGTTTCATGTTTAAGCAATCTATTGGGGTTCTTTGAGAAGTAACATTTGCTGTGCATAAGGGGGAACTGGTGGATGTACTATACTTGGATTTCCAGAAGGCATTTAATAAAGCACCACAGGTTATTGCGAAAGTAAAAGCTTATGGTTAAAAGGCAACATATTGGCTTGGATAGAAGGATGGTTAAGTAATAGGATCTTCTTTCTGCTTATCAGGATGTAACGAATGGTGTGCTAGAGGATCAACACTCGGACCTCAACTTTTATAATTTATGTAAATGATTTGGAGGAGGATAGGGAAACAATGGTTGCCAAATTTGGTGTTGACATAAAGATAGGTAGAAATGTAAGCTGGGATGAACAGGATAATAAGGAGGCTATAAAGAGATATAAGTTGGTTAAATGAGCGGGCAAAGAACTAGCAAATGAAGTATAATGTGGGAAAACGTGACCTTGCCAATTTTGGCAGGAAGCATAAATAAGCGTTTTAGCTAAATGCTGAAAGATTACAGAGATCTGAGGTACAGAAAGATCTAGCTGTTCTAATGCATAAACCACATAAGGCTAGTATGCAGGTGCAGCAAATAATAAAGAAAGATAATAGAACATTATCATTTATTGAGCGGCATTTAATGTGAAAGTAAGGAAGTTATGCTTCAGTTATAGAGGGCACTTCAGATCATATTTAGTATATTGTGTACAGTACTAATCACCAAATTTAAAGAAGGATGTAAATGCATTAGAAATAGGTCACATAGATTACAGACTAATACCTGGAATGGGTGGGTTGTCATATAAAAATGTTGGACAGGCGAGGCTTATATCTGTTGGTATTTGGTAGAGCAAGAGATGATTTGATTGAGACATGAGATTCTGAGGGGTCTTGTCAAGATAAATGTGGAGAGAATGTTTCCTCAAATGGGAGAATCTAGAGCTAGTGGTCACTATATTAAATATGTGACACTTTATTTTCAAAGTGGTTTTTTGAGGTGATTTTGTTTTCCCTCAGATGCACATCAGTCTTTGGAACTCTTCCTGAAAAGGTGGTAGAAGCAGAATCTCTGAATATTTTTAAAGGCAGAGATGCATAGATAATAACAAGTCAGTGAACGATCATGACCAGTAGGTAGAAATATGGATTTCAGATTACAAACAGATTAGTCAATCTTATTAAATGGCAGAATAGTCTTGAGGGGCTGAACAGCCAACTCTGGTCCACATATGTTCACACGTTTGTATGTCATCATTACCAGGCAAAAGGTGCTAGGGAGACTATTAGATCTCAAGTTTGACAAGTCAAGACTGCATGCATCCAAGGGCTTTTAAAGAAGTGGCTAGAGAGATTGTAGAGGCACTGCTTAAAATCTTCAAAAATTCCTTAGATTCTGGAAGGATCCTAGAACATCAGTAAATAGATAATTTATTAGCATTATTCTAAAAGAAACAAACAAAGACAGCCAAACATCTGTCAAAGGGAAATTGCTAGAGTACTGTATAGTAGAATACTTTAAAAAAATATATCAATGTGATCAGGCAAGGTCGATATGGGTTTTGTGAAAGAGAAAGTATGTTTAATTTGACAGCTTTTTGAAGGAAGTAACAGGCAAGGTGGAGAACCTGTCGGATGGATGTTGTAGAATTAGTGGGTAGTCATGGTGAGCTTAGTTTACTTATAATCATGCAACCCAAGTCAAGTCATTCATTAACCCAATATATTGCTTAACTGTAATCTATATAGATTTTAGCACTTAGCTATCATGTGACTCTGATTAGCCTCACCTGACAAGGAAATGCACATGATTTCACAAGGTTAAACGGTAAGAACTTTCAACCTTCGAGGCTGAACAAGCTCACACCCTCCCAACTTAATTGCTTATGAAAAAACCTGGTGTTATCAATAAAGGAAGACTAGGAGGGATCAATTGTGGGATGGAAGAAAAAAAAATCAGCTGTGCACTAAATTAGCTTTGTTACAATGTATAACTTTTAGAAAAGAAGCAATTATATTTGGCTAAATGTCATCTTTGTATTATAGAGATAACTTTGTACCGTGTGTGTTTAAGTTGGTAACTGTATAATCCTTCAGAATTCTATCACTCAAGACTATGTAATTACTGAATGTACTAGGATATCTCATACACTTTATTATGCACTTATGTTTTATAAACACTCCGCTTAACTTAAGTACTACCTACTTTGTAATCTTTGATATTAGTAGTCTGTGATTTTCCATATCAGTTTCATATAGTTTTAAGTTCTGAGCAACTTTCCCCACTATATTCTGTTTTAAAAGTTAAGAAATACATTCCAGGCACAAACAACCACAGAATGAAAAATATCACCAAGCCAATGGCCTCTAAAACATGGAGGCACTGATAAGGTGTTTGGTACATGAAAGATTCTCACCGATTATGCGAAAACAGAGACAGTGTGCTTATAGTATCAATCACAAGGCAGCAAACAAACCCTTGACCTGACAAATTGGGAAGGAAAATATCACAATACCCTTTTATGAAGGCAAGACCATAATGAAAAGAATGGGCCCACACTGAGAAATCAAGCAGAAGATAGTGGGAGATGGCAGTCAATGTCCAATACTTTTGAACCAATTAAAAATAGATCTCATCTCACTGAGTCCAATCAGAATGTTATAATGTTATGGATCACATTGTGGGTTGCAGCTTGCAAAGAATTAATGAGCAGCAGCTTTCAGCGACTGAAGTGCAAGCACCAAGCTTGAAACCGAAGTTAGTACAGCAGGCTGTCCAATAAGAAGCAGATGACACAGAGATGTTGGAAAGAGACCAAAGACAGACTGTTAACTGCTTGCTCCAGGCTGAACTGGAAAGCAAGAACTCCAGTAAGCCCTAAAGTCACCACACTGCTTTGGTAAAATTGCCTTATAACTTAAGTGAATTTTCCTGAGTTACCACCACACCGTCTCCCGTTACCTTATTGGTAAAATTTTCAAAAGAACAAATAAATTGGGATGAGGGTTTTTTTTATTGTAACCTAAAACTTACAACATAGTCAAATACCTTTTGCACTAAGTGCTACATCAAAGGTTGCTTGTTAAGAACACACATGTAAGAGGTAACATTGGCATGGAGAAAGGATTGGTGAGCTAATAGGAAGCAGAACGTAGGGATAAACTGGTCTTTTTCAGGATGGCAAGCTATAACAACTAACACTTTTGGAAATGTTAACTCTGTTTCTCTCTCCACTGATGCTGCCAGACTTGCTGTGTTTCTGCAGCAATTTCAGCTTTTATTCAAGCTTTATAAGGCTGAGCTTAGATATCTTTCATCTAGGATTCCTGACCAGTTGGCTTAAAACTGCGAATTCCCACATTGCTATTTTCAGCTAAAGTTAGGTCTCAAAGGGGTGGAAAAGAAGTTTTTTTTAAGAAAGGTTTCTAGGGAAATCACAAATCTATAGGCCTTATTTTGACTGTGGAAATTGTATCTATGGTGGGGATAAACCACAGGATCCATTTATTGGGATAGGATTTTAGGAACAGCACTTGAGACAACTCTGTAGATGCTATATACATGGATTTTATATTTGTTGATTGGATTAGATTTAGAAACAAGTACAGATGGCAATGGGTTAGACTGGATTTTCGACGGTTTTATCAGTGACTTGCTATTATGGGTCTGGTGTGGTCTTGACATGATTAAGATATCTAAATTTGCATATATTTTCCAGTGCTTTCAATTTAATGATCAATTATATACAAATCTGAAAGGTAATGGAGAATCTAAACCTGATCTTAACCTAATTGCAGTGTCAGAATATGCAGATTTGGATCAGACGTTCAACTTTATTCTTGGTATTGGTAGATTAACAAGATTAAGTCTCCTGTTGATATATCAGAGCAGTGAATATTCAGAGGTATCAAAGAGAGAGGGAGCCAGCAATTGTGAGAAGAAGGATGGTCTCACACTGTCTAGTTTTCTTTTGATTATCCTGGCTTGTTACAACTGACCAATTGATTTTTACAACATAGGTGGTAGAAGAAACTTGATGTTAGACAGCTTTGGAAACTATATGCCCAAAGTTACCTATTAACCCCAAGAATACATTTACTAAACATTATGACTCCAATCATTCATGTGATACATTCCAAAATGTGATGATCTGAAATGCTAACATTAAACGGTCAAGAAAATTTAATTCAGCCACACAACTCTGATAAATTTTAGCCAGGTCACAAGACTGAACAGTTTACAACAATCTCAAATCGGGAAAGATACAAATTAACACCATCTATTCTCAGTGCAACATACATGATACAGCAGGCAATTAAACTTTTGGTTGTTTATTCCTTTAGTGGTGATTAACAGATATGTTATTTAAGCAATTTAAAAAACACACAAAACACTCAAAACATGTAAGAAGTTGCATAATCATAGGGTTAAAATGTCTATTTACTAAGTCTATCAAGTTGGGTTAATTTTCTTTACACAGTAAAGTCCCCATCATCTGGTACTCCGTTATCCGGAATTTTCATGCCATCAGCAATTGCCCTGGGAACTGACTGTGTCGTCATATCTCTCTCTCCTTTTGATCAAACCTTGCTGACAATATTTGAGCAGTCCTGGCCACAATTGGCAGCCCCCATTCCTGGTGTGTGATAGATACTGGGGAGTTTACTGTATCTGCTTCAAAAAAAAAGCCCTCTAAAATCAGCAATCCTCTTAACAGAAAGGTTAAGTAGCCTGCTTCACAGCCTTTATTAGTCAACAGCCTTGTTTTGCTACTTAGTAGTGCTTCTGCAATTGAGCACATCAGTTCCTTTGAATGGTTTCGTGGTTGTTGACCATCTGATAATGGCAATTTGCCATCTAAACACAGGCTTTGTAAATCTTCAGCAACTTGTGAATGGCACTTACCAGTCTTCTTTTCTGATGGTGGAATATTTGCTTCCTGATATTTGATGCCTTCAGGTTTTACAGCTTGATGGGTTTCACAGCTACTAAATGCACAGCACTGATAAGCATATGGAACCATCAATGTCCTATAAAGAGTTAAGGCAATAAAAACTTGTTTCAAGTTAAATATGTGCACATTTCAATAACATTAACTTTAAGCTTTCGTACTGGAACTAAAAACTGTGCACTGGGAAGTATCCAATGATAAAGGATCAACTATTACTCTCAGTTTACACACAAAATGTCTTACTCTTCTAAATTGCACTTATGACAGGTAAGTTGGGTTGCTATGTCATTCTCTCAGAATTATAGGCAAGTTTGTACACTCTGAAAATGGCAAGGAGGAATGGTATGGGTCACTGATACTTAGCCATTGAGTTATGTGCTCTTTTAAAGAAACACAAAGTTTATAGTCATTCATGTGATTTTAGCTTTGACAGGGGTACAATGTAAGACAAATGTGTGTTAGTGAGAAGGCATTAATCTATCAGGAACAAATTAAAGATATTATGTTGTTCTGATTTTACAATTAAGCGTTCAATTTTGCAATGCAAGCTACATGGAGACAAGCAGTTTGATATTCAAACTTTCTTTTAAGACAAACCTTTGCAATAAATCACAAGAAAGATTTCAGGTTAACTTGGGCATAGGCAATAATGTTAACTGAACTATTGCATAGTTTATATTTCACACATGATATACTGTAAGAGCTATGCAGAAACGGGGGACAAAAGGAAATTGGTAACAAAAACAATACTGGCCACAAGTTAGCAAGTAACCAATGACCAAGCATTTGCCAATACCAGTTGGCAACTATTCAGGTACTTTTAAAAAGTAGCACAAGTTAATATATAATTATGGATTAGAGCATAGTTGGTCCACTGTGTTGGTGCTAGGTCTTCAACAACTTTAGTCCTATTTGCCTGTACCCTTTCATATTATTTTTCAAATATTTAATTCCCTTTTAAATTGTGGTAGAATGTGTGCTTGAACAGCTATTTCTGATAAAGCGCATCATTTTTTCCTGATATTTTATGAAAAATTAATTTTGTCTCCCTTTGAGACTCTTGTCAGTATGCATCTCATTATTGGATTCTCAAACAGTGGCAATACTACTTTGCGATTTACCCTCTGAAAACTTCATATCATCTTAAATCACAGGCATTGCAGCTAAAACCAAAAGTAACATTGGAATATGGTCACAAATGCACAATTACTTCATGGCAGCATTAATTGCCACTATTTTCTTTTTGAAAAATTAAAGTATGGAAAGTTATACCAATACAAAATCTGGTGTAATGGGCACAGCACAGAGGTAAGAAAATTGAACTGATTTTTAAACCACCACTGTTCTCGGGCCTACAAAAACAGAAAAGTTCAGGGCAGACTTAAAATTTGAACATGAATATAGGAAAGTGCCCACAAACGAGTAGTCTCCACAACTCTGCTACACCATTCAAATTTGACAATGGTTCATCCGCATTTTCACTCAATTCACCTGCCTTGGTTCCACATCTATTAATCACCTTAGCTAACAAAATGCTACCAATCTCAACTTTACATTTTCAACTAACCTAGCCTCAATGGCTGGTTTTGGAGAGCATTCCAGATTTCTTCAAACCTTCACCTGAAGGAGTGCTTCCTGACCTCACCTTTGAACAATTCAGCTCTAATTTTAACATAATGCTCTGTTGTTCTTGACATTTATCAGACAGCATAGTTTCTCTCCATCTACTCCGGCATATTACTTAATCATGTCAGATATGGCACAGATGCAGGCTATTCTACCATGCTGGTAGAAACAATGAACGTAAATACTTCTAACATCTCTAATCTTATATACTCAAGGAAAAAAATTTTACAAGACTATATTAGTTGTTCTCTTCATTTAACCCCAAGTCCTAATATCATTCTGCTGAATCTAAATATCACTTGCTCCAAAGCCAAAGAGTTCTTTTTCCCCCCTTGAACTGTAGCACTCTCAACTGAATGCAGTACTCATTGTTGGTTAACAACTGATCTATACAACTGCAGCATAACTATTACCCGCTTTTAATTCTTAATCCCCTTAAACCACAGTTTAACAAACCTGAGCCGAGGGAGGTCCTCTGGTATCAGCAATTCCTTCAGGCCAGCATTCCCAGAAAGTTTAAGTTGATTTAGACCTATTAGCCCGGCTGTTGGGAAATAACTTAATCGATTGGAACTTAAGTCTCTGAAAACACAGAAAAGCATATGAATTAGTGCATCCTAAATCAATGAAGATAGAAAACATAGAAAATGGGGATGTGCCATTTGCCCCTTGAGTCTGCTCTACCATTCATCATGACCATGGGACGATCACCCAAATCCTCCTTTAATCCCTTTAGATATTTCCAACTCCTCCTTAAATCATACAACGTTTTGTCCTTGACTGCTTTCTGTGGTAGCGAATTCCACAGGGTCACCACTCTCTGAATGAAGAAATTTTTCCTCATCTCAGTCCTAAATGGTTTATCGCGTATTCTTAGACTGTGACCCGTAGTCCTAGACTCCCCCACCATTGGAAACATTCTTCCTGCATCTACCCTGTCTAGTCCTGTTAGAATTTTATAGGTCGTGATAAGACTCCCCCTTCATTTTTCCCAATTTCAGCGAATATAATCCTAACCAACTCAAGCTTTTGTCATAAGTCAATCTCACCATCCCAAGAATCGGTCTTGTTAAACCTTCACTGTACTCCCTCTATAGCAACAGCATCTTTTCACAGATAGAGACTAAAACAGCACACAATATTCCAGGTGTGGTCTCACCAAGGTACTGTACAATTGCAGCAAGACATCCCTGCTCCTGTACTCAAATTCTCTTGCTTTGAAGGCCAATATACTGTTTTGCCTTCTGTACTGCCTGCTACACCTGCATGCTTACTTTCAGTGACTGGTGCACAAGAACACCCAGGTCTTGTTGCAGATCCCCCTCTCTCAATTTATAATCATTCAGATAATAATTGGCCTTCCTGTTTTTGCTACTAAAGTAGATAACCTCACATTTATCTGCCATGCATTTACCCACTCATTCAACTTGTCCAAATCACCCTGAAGCATCTCTGCATTCTCCTCACAGCTCACCCATCCTACCTAGCTTTGTATTACATACAAACTTGGAGATATTACATTTAGTTCTCTTACTGAAAATCATTAACATGTTGAGAATAGTTGGGGTCCTAGCACCGATCCTTGCGTACCCTATGAGTCAGTGCCTGCCATTTGGAAAAAAGAGACCTGTTTATTTCTTCAGAAATGAGCAGATAGAGGCCATTCAACCCATTAGGAGCAGATGGAGGCCATTCAACCCATTTCCGAGGAAGGGTCCCGATCCGAAACATCAGCTTTCCTGCTCCTCTGATGCTGCCTGGCCTGCTATGTTCCTTCAGCTCCACAATGTTATCTCAGACTCCAGCATTGGTAGTTCTTACTATCCCTGTTCATTTCTATTTGTTGTTTCCCATCTGCCAATCAGTTTTCTATCCATCTCAACACACCACTCCCAATCCTATGTACTTTGATTTTACATGCCAATGTCTTGTATGGGGCTTTGTTGAAAGCCTTCTGGAAGTTCAAATAAATTATATCTACTGGCTCCCCCTCATAAACTCTGCTCGTTACATTGAAGGAAATCTGTAACAAAATCATTACTGGCCACAAATTAGAATTCCAGTATATTTGTCAAGCATGATCTCCCTTTCATAAATTCATGCTGAATCTGTCCAATTCTGCCACTGTTTTCTAAGTGCTCTGTTAATAAAACTTTTACAATGAACTCCAGCATTTTCCCCACTACTGACATCAGACTGACTGATCTATAATTCCCACTTTTCTTTCTACTTCCCTTTTTAATTACGGGGTTATTTGAACTCCACAGGAACTGTTCCAGAGTTCATAGAATTCTAGAAGATGACTAAAGAATCCACTATTTCTAAGGCCACTTCCTTAAATACCCTGGGATGTAGATTATCAGGCGCTAGGGATTTATCAGCCTTCAATTTCAATCCTCCCAACACCATTTCCCTACTAATGCTGATTTCCTTTAGTTCTTCCCTCTCACTGAACCCTGTGTTCCCCAACATTTCTGGCATGTTATTTGTGTCCACCTCTGTGAACATCGAACCAAAGTATGTATTTAGTCGGTTAGCCATATTTTTGTGTTCCAATATAAATTCCTCCATTTCTGAGATGCTTTTCAAACTTATGTTGGGAAGACAAGGTTAAAATTAAAAGCACAATTAATATATCAGTTGTTTAGCACAAAGTTCAACATTTTAAGCTAATGACCATAATGTAAAAATCAACAAGAAGGAAGAGCTTGAAACTATCTGAGTCACTTACAAGTTAGCAAGTTCAGTCAAAGAAATTAATGCATTCTTGTGAATTGTAGAGATCTGGTTTTTACTTAGGTCACTGTAAAGGAATAATGGGAAGGGGGAGAGAGAAAAATTATTTATGCATATAAAGAATACAAAAAGTGAAACTGGTTTGCATTCTGATCTTATTTTATCCAACAGTATGTTATTACTTTTAAAATTCAATGACATTACAGCATATTCCCCTATTACCCCTACAACTGCAACTCAAGTCATTTTCAGTAACTACTTTTATTAAAATCCTAGAAATTCAATTTTCTTAGATTTCATAGGAGCATTATTATGCCAATGTACAGACAGTAAATGCTGCATGATTAGAAAACATCCTCTATACCCAGAGACAACACAGTCTGGAGCTGGAGGAACACAGCAGACCAGGCAGCAGAGGAGCAGGAAAGTTCATTTTTCGGGTCAGGACCTTTCTTCAGAAATGGGGAGGCGGAAGGGAGCTGGAAAGGTGAGAGGTGAGTGCAGGTAGGGAGTGGTGAGGTTTGGCCAGTGAGCTGGGAGGAGCGCATAGGTGAAAGGGAAGATGGACAGGTTGTGTTGGTTCAAGGAGGCGGGAGGGAGGATGGGTGGGGCTGGGGAATGGTAGGTGGGGTGGTGATCAGTTGGATACAAGTAGGGGGCAGTGGGGATTGGTCGACGGGAAGGGTAGGGCGGATGGGTGGGGAAGATGATGGACAGGTTGTGTCAGGTCAAGGAGGCAGGAATGAGAGGGATATTTGGACGTGGGATGAGGACAGGGGTGGGGAGATTTTAAAACTGGGGAATTCTACATTAAGGCCATCGGGCTGTAGGCTCCCGAGGCGGCATACAAGGTGTTGCTCCTCCAGTTTGCGTGTGGTGTCACTGTGGTACTGGAGGCGGCCCAGGATGGTCATGTCATCAAGGGACTGGGAGGGGGAGTTAAAATGGTTGGCGACTGGAAGGCGTTGTCGTTTGTTGCGTACAGAGCACAGATGCTCCACGAAACGGTCCCAGAGTCTGCACTTGGTCTCACTGATGTAGAGGAGGCCACTTTGGGAGCAGAGGATACAGTAGACCCAGTTTTGAATTTGAAGTTGGGGTGAAAGGTGTTGGTAAAGTTGAAATGTTCAAGCTCCTCATAGGAACATAAGGCAGCGCCGATACAATCATCAACATAGCAGAGGAAGAGGTGTGGGATGGTGCCGGTGTAACAGCGGAAAAGGGAATGGTCCACATATCCTACAAAGAGGCAGGCATAGCTTGGGCCTATATGGGTGCCCATTACCTCCTCTAATTATATCCCAGTTCCTTTCCCCCTCCCCATTTCTGAAGAAGGGTCCCGACCCGAAACGTCAACTTTTCTGCTCCTCTGACACTGCCTGGCCTGCTGTGTTTTTCCAGATCCTCACTGTGTGGTCTCTGACTCCAGCATCTGCAGTTCTTGCTCTGATCCTCTATACCCATTCCTGTTCAGTTTTCAAACAATAATTTGCATGGGTACTGAAGTTAAGTTTAATCAAGAAAGACATTTGATCAATGTTCAGACATTGCAGTAAAAATTTACAGCCATATTCTTCAGTTCACACCCTCTCAGAAGATGTGTAATCTGCCAGATATGACGAATGAAAATCTGGATCTGGCTTCAGCAGAATTATTGATATAACTGAGGAAAAATACAAAATCTGTACTCACAGCAAATGCAGAGACACCAGTCCCTGGAATGTCTCTATTTTGATCTCTTCGATTTCATTGTGCTTTAAGGAACTGTAAAGATAGTATAATACAAAAACACTGGGGTTGGTTAAAAAGCTTGATCTGGCAATAAATGTACTTTAATTACACAAGTTGATGAGATTTAGTTTCACTGCTCTCAATTTATTCTATGCTTACATCCAACAGGGAGGTGTTGATGGCCCAGTGGTATTATCCAGAGACACAAATAATGTTCTAGGGGAGCCATGTTTGAATCCTGCCACGGCAGATGGTGGGAATTTGAATCCAATAAAAATCTGGAATTAAGAATCTAAATGATGGCCACTAATCCATTGTCAATTGTCGGAAAGATACATCTGGTTCACCAATGTCCTTTAGGGAAAGAAATCGTCATCCTTTTCTGGTCTGGGCTACTGCAAAGTGGTTGACTCCTAATTGTGGGCAATTATGGATGGGCAATAAATGCTGGCCTAGCCAGTGACGCCCTTATCCCATGAATGAATTACAAAAAGACCATTGCAGTAGATTAGTATAAATTGCAGATATGATGGGGGGTGGAATGAGAGAAAGGAGCAGGATATCTTTACAGGATATCTTGTTAATTGTTTTTGATAATCAAAGTTAAATATTGTTTATTGTAAATTATTTAGGCAATAATTCAACTGTTCAATATGAACCAGTCATTTAACTATTACTATGTGGGAGTCGGTTAGCTCAGTTGGCTGGATGGCTGATTGCAATGTAGAATGACACCAACAGCATAGGTTCAATTCCCACACTGGCTAAGGTTACCATGAAGGACCCTCCTTCTCAACCTTGTCTGACATGGTGACCCTTGCATTAAACCATCACCAGTTGCCTCCCTTTAATGAGAGAGAAGCTTATGGTCTGCTGGGACTACGGTGATTTTACCTCCTATTGCTGCATTGTGCCATAAACTGGTTTATTTTAATTAGAAGATGATTGTGGCATATACGCTTGGAAGCTACAAGAGTGACCAAAACAATTGTGCATAAAATAAACATCTTCAAAGTATGTCAAATTTGAATCTGTTAACTAATATTTATTATGACAAATAGATTTTCTTCATTTCTATAGCTGCGCATTCAAGTCCTGTTTTATGAAAATGGAAAGTTCCAAAAAGTCAAAATATATTTTACAGTTACATTTACAGTTCACACAAATCTGCTGTTAATCAAATCCAAGTTCCACGAATCCTACTAGGAACAAAAATGCATCCATTTCACAAACAACTGTAAGTAAATGCCTTAGTAATACTGCATAACCATATTTCACCTCATTACCCCTCAAAGTCTGCCTACCATCTACAAGGTACAAGTCAGGAATGTGAAAAGAATATTCCCCATTTGCGTGGATAAGTGCAGCTGCAATAGAACTCAAGGAGTTTGATAACACCTAGGACAAACCAGCCCACTTGATTAGCACCATATTCACAATTCCCCAAAGCTCCTTAGACAGTACATCCCAAACCCATGAACACTACCACACGGAAAGACAAGGGCAGATCCATGGAAACACCACCACCAACAAATTCACCTCCGAGCCACTCAACATTCTAACTTGGGAATATATTAGCAATCCTTCAGTGTTGCTAGGGCAACATGATGGAACTCCCTTCCTAATGGCATTGTGGGACTACCTACACCAAACGGACTAGTGGTGTAAGAAGGCAGCTCACCACCACATTAAGGACAATTTGAGATGGTCAACAAATGCTGGGCAGCCAGCTATACCCCCATCCACTGGGGTAAAAAAAAACACTACATATAGCTTGTATCATTTACAAGTGTGAGACAAGTCAACAAATGAATGCAAGACCACTAGAATGCTGCGTGCAAGTTGACTCTATGACCCATCACTTCACGGTATTAACTTCACGCATCTTTCTCTGGATTTGTTTTAATCTGGTCAAACAGTAAAGAGAACCCATTTCAGAAATGGACATACTGAATAGAACTGTTGTTGCAGAGCTGAATGATTGCATATGCCTCAGCTTGCCTCCTATTTCAGCTAAGGGATTTAATAGCTATGTTAGGCTGAACAGTTCTACTTAGCCTACAGCAATGAGTAAACCTATCTTGGCAGAGAAGACAACCAGTTTGTCCCCCTCCCACCCCAAGAAGAGTTTATAAAAGTTGCACAAAGGATTGACAATGGCCACACAAAAGTGTGAACACATCAAATTTGTATCCAGATTGATAGGAACTACAACTGAAATTTAGACAAAAAATGTGTAATAATTTAAGATCTGTGATAGGACAACATACATTACATTGCCACATAAACCTCATTGTTACGTTACTATAAATATATTCACTAGAAAAGTCAGCTCAGCTCTGGGACTATTATGAAAAAAAATCACTAAACATTTCCACTGGCATTTATTCCCTTTGTATGTACGACTTACACCTGCTTAGAGTGGAACTCGAATGAAAGTTGAAACCAGCTGACCTTTGTAAATCAAGAACATCTTTTAATCTTTCCAAAAATGCGACAAATAAGCTATAAACCACAACAAAATAGTCAGTCAGTCACAAAAACCTAGAAGAAAATATATAACTGGCGCCACAAAGCATATTGTATACCTATTTGTAAAACCCTACAGGTTCCCAAATGTATGCATAAAAATATCCTCATACAATCCATGACAGGAAACAACTAAATGATGTAATAATCACAGTTTAATCTCTAGGCTCCAAATGTCTATGCCAACCAGCAATTAAGTGGACACTGCTGGTTTCAATGCATTACTAAGTATAATCTGCACTACTTATGATAGGTGTGATGTCAACACTGTAACCACAGTTTCTAATGCATTGACAGAATATTTGTCCTCCTCTCTCAATATTTACACCTTGGTTGCTGAATGACTTGCACAATCAGAATCTACAATCTCTTTGAAAAGATGCCCCTCGTTTCAAGCTGCTACAAAATCATTTCAGTCAATAGCTACTATGGTACATTGTAGCAGGAGGTGTGTGATAATGCCATGGCTGTGAACCTCAGTGCTTGTGTCAGGCACCTACATGTGACCTGGAAAGCCAAGGATCAACAGAGATTAGTTTCACCTGGAGAGGTCTGGCTCCATATAGGCTGGAACATTGGCACAAATCCTGGATTTTATTGAGCACCGATGGTGGAAACGACTGTGGTTCTGGTTTAGGGAATCTGCTGTTTGGAGGCACATCTTTTCAAGCCAGGGAAGGATCTGAACACAAACCACAGCATCTCTTTCCTGGGATTTGCTTGGCCAGGACACAAACTGTTGTGATTGGTTGGCTCACCGAGCTGGTTTGTTGTTCCGCAGATGTTTCATTACCTTGCTGGGTAACGTCATCAGTGCAGCCTCCAATGAAGCGCTGTTGTGTTTTCCCACCCGGTATTTAAACTCTGGGGTCCATTGTGTTAAATTGCCTCACTTCCGGTTTCCCTTCACTTCAGTGGAGTATATATAGGGTCTAGCTCTAGGTGTTTGTTGATGGCCTTCTTAGTGGAGAACCAGGCCTCTAGAAATTCCTGTGCTTGTCTCTGTTTGGCCTGTCCTAGGATCCTGGTGTTGTCCCAATCAAACTGGTGGTTTTCCTTATTCATGTGGATGGAGAGGAGTAAGTATCGATCGTGTCTTTTTGTTGCTAGTTGGTGTTCGTGTACTCGTGGCGAATTTTGTTCCTGTTTGTTCAATGTAATGTTTGTCACAGTCTTTGCAAGGAATCTTGTATATAACGTTGGTTCTGTCCATAGTGGGTAACGGGTCTTTGGTTCAGGTTAGCAGTTGCTGTACGGTTGATGTGGGTTTGTGTGCTACTCTGATGTGCAGTGGTCATAGGAGTCTTGTGGTAAGTTCAGATATGTTCTTGATGTATGGTAGCATGATGAGTGTGTTACGGCATGCAGCATCTTCCTGTTGTTTTGTGTAATAGGCATTGTCTGACTCAGTTGTTCAGGTATCCGTTGTCCTTGAATACTTGGTGGAGGTACTCTCCTTCCTTTTGGCGTAGTTCCAGGTTGCTGCAGGGTGTTGTTGCTCCTTTAAATAATGTTTTCACACAACTTTGTTTGTGGGTGTTAGGGTGGTTGCTGTTGAAATTCAGGACTTGGTCAGTGTGTGGGGCTTTCCTGTGTACCTTTGTCAGAAATTCCCCATTGGTCCTGCGTTCTACCATGACGTCCAGGAATGGAAGCTGTTGTTCTTTTCCTCTTCCCTGGTGAATTTGATCCCGGTGAGAGTGTTGTTTATTAGTTAGTGTGTCTCCTCTAGTTTGGTCCATTTAATGCCGCCGAAGATGTCGTCCACGCATCGGATCCGTAGTTTCGGTTGGATTAGCAGAAGGGCCATGCTTTTGAGTTTCTGCATCAGCGCATCAGCTATTAGTCCGGAGATAGGTGATCTTATGGGTGTCCTGTTGATCTGATCATAGATTTGGTCATTAAAGGTAAAGTGGGCCGTGAAGCATAGGTCCAGTAACTTCAGCATGTTCTGTGTGGAGATGGTGCCACTCAGGTCTCATTCTTGTTTTAGTAGTGTTGCTAGTGTTTCTCTTGCTAGTGGTACATCAATCGATGTGAATAGGGCAGTAACGTCAAATGATACCATGGTCTCGACGTCTATTCTTATGTCCTTGAGGGAATTGAGGAATTCTTGGGCTGAGTGGATTGAGTAGGGTGACTTGCTGACGAGGTACTTTAATTTTCGTTGGAAGGGGGTTTCACTCTTTGGTAGTCCGTTTTGTTGATTTGTCTGGTCTGTTTGAGTCTCTTTAGTGTGTTGAGAATCTTGTTGCCCAGTTGTGGTGTCAGGTCTATCTGCACTTGCCAGTATGTGTTCGTGTCTGCTAGCAGTGTCTGTGCTTTGGTGAGGTACTCCCATTTGTTTAGTATTACTGCCATGCGCCCTTTGTCCACTGGTAGTATTGTGATGTTTTTGTCCTTTTTCAGTCCTTCTAGGGCCTTCCTTTCTGATGTGTTAAGAGTGTTATGATCGCTGTCTGTCTCATGGCTTGTTGTGTTTCTTTGTTGATGCCATTGGTCTTCAGTGTGGATTCCAGTGTGGCTAAAAATTCTGTCTTGTCAGCATCTCTGTGGTTGTAGTTGAGTCTGTGAATTAGAACAGCTTTCTCTGTGTCTGTCAATTTCCTGTCTGAAAGGTTTCTTCTCCAGGTGTCTGCTCTATGGTTGTCATTTTGATGGATTAGTTTGGCTAGTTTTTCTTGAAGGATCTGCCTTTTCTTGGTTCTTGTTATCTGTTGACCAGTTCGATTGGGACAACACCAGGATTCTAGGTCAGGCCAAAGAGAGACAAGCACGGGAATTCCTAGAGGCCTGGTGCTCCACTAAGGCCATCAACAAACACAGAGCTAGACCCTATACATACTCCACTGCAAAGGAAAACCGGAAGTGAAGTAATCCAACGCAACAGATACCGGAGTTTAAATATCAGGCAGGAAAACACAACAGCGCTTCGTTGGAGGCTGCATTGATGATGTTACCCACCAGGGTAATGAAACATCTTCGGAACAACGAACCAGCTCGGCGAGTGAACCAACCACAGCAAGCACAATCTGAGCTACAAATCTACTCAAATATCTTAAGGACACAAACTATTGCCCATTCCTGAATTTCCTACATGGTGGTGGTCAGTCACTTTCTTCAATAGCTAAAAACAATTTGGACCACACTCCTCCAGACAAGTAAGGAACATTCGGTCACACTCCTGGCTTACGTTATGTACTAGAAGATAAATGTTTCTGAACAGAGGCCACGCTTTTAGAGAGAGCTTTATTTCAGTTAACCGCACATCATAATACCATCAGCACACTGATTACAAACTCCCCATATTTATACAATAGGCTTACCCAATTAACCATTAAGTAATATATCCATCACCTGTTCTCTTATTCCAATAGATCCCAGGAATCCCTTCAGACCATACTAAATTATAACAGCCTGTGCCTTGTCGATGATGATCAGGCTTTGAAGGCGTGTTAATTGATATAGAATTCTCAGTTTCTGACCTGGTCTTGTAGGCACAGTATTTATATGGCTTATCCAGTAAAGCTTCTGATCAGTTGTAATCAGCAACAGATCGGGTAGCCATTGGAGTTGGAGGCTCCATTTCAACGGGTAAGACACGCACACAGCGATGGCATGACTGAAGGATTTTTCATCCTGACAGCCCTATCCCTTTCAAACTTTATTTCTCACATTTATAATCAGCAACAGAGGTGCAAGCTATCTACTCCATCAGCATCCATCTCCGAGAGCCTTCTATTTGCAATTCTGCCTTGGAACCCAATACTCTATTCCAGAAGGTACAATTTGTCAATTAAAAATTCTAGAATAAATTATGAAACATTTCCACCAGATTAAAAGACTTAATTGGCTGGATTCAGCAAAAGAGAACAATTTTCATTTTCTAGAAGAGTTTTTTCTGGCTAGTCTGGCATTTATTGTACAATTCTAATGCCTCGAAGAAGATAATGGTAAGCTGCCTTCTTCATCCGCTGCAGTCAATGTGTATAGGTACACCATTAGGAAGGGAGTTCTAAAATTTGACCAAGTGACAGTGAAGGAAGGTGATGTTGTTGCGGTTCAGAGAGTGTACATCTTAAAAGGAGATTTTATAGGTGGAAGTATTCCCATGCATCTGCTGCCCTTGCCCTTCTAGGTGGCGGAGATTGCTGGTTTGGAAGGTATTATCAAAGGAGCCGTGGTGAATTGCTGCAGTGCACCTTGTAAATGGCACACACTGCATCGATGGTGGAGTAAGTGAATGTTTAATATGGTGGATAGGGTGCCAATCAAGCAAGCTGCTTTGTTTTGCTTAGCACCGAGTTTCTCGAGTGTTATTTGAGTTGCACTCATCCATGCAAGTGGTGATTATTCCGTAACACCACTGACTTGTGAGGCAGACTCATGATCAGAGATGGTGGTAAAACAACTTGCAGCATTTCCTGAACAAAAACAGAAGTTGCTGGAACAGCATCTCTGAAGGATAAAATAGGAGTTAACATTTCAGGGTCCGGTGGCCCTTCCTCAGAACTGTTCACTGGACTTGAAATGTTAACTCTGACTATTTTCTTCACTGATGCTGCCAGACCTGCTGAGCTTTTCAGCAACTTCTGTTTTTTGCTCCTGATTTACAGCATCCGCAGTTCTTTCAGTTGCAACATTCCCTGCCTGATCAACATTTAATACTGAAGCAATAGTACAAAACTCGCTTTATACAAAAAAATCTTTTGATAGATTTTTGCAATGTTACAGTTCCAATTCTGTGTCACAGTTTATTATGCATTCAAAAACTCAACTGTATTTGGTCATTCATATATTCTTCTAACTTTGCTCCCATCATTATTTCATTTAAGCATTTTTCCATGTGTCATTGATCTTGTACTTGATTTGGTTTGGCTAATGGAAAACTTGCTACACAGCAAAACTAAAAGCTACTTAAAATACATTACAAACGTAAACATGTAGGCTGCATTTGAAATTACAAGTGAACCTTTATTCCTACTAAGTTCAGCATCTTTAGTGCCGAAAGACAACTTAATGAGTTTGACAACAGCACCTAGGCAGTGTCAATGAAATTCATTGTTTCAGAACAAGTTCACAGCCAGAATCAGTGATTATTTAATGATCCAAAAATAAAAATAAAGTATCTTCAGAGTGACAATGATGTTTTTGTTTTTTTTTAAAACACACCAAGTTTTGTGGGTACAATTGTAGGTACTGTACCAGCAACCTATAGGGTAAACTCAAATTCCACTATGGCACGCTGTGGAACTGAATTCAATAAATCTGGTATCAAAGATGTGCAGGTTAGGCGGATTGGCCATGCTAAATTGCCCCATAGTACCCAGAAATATGTATAGTTACTGGGATAGGGGTGAGGGAGTGGGTTGGGTGGGATGATGTTCGGAGGGCCAGTGTACACTCAATGCCTCTTTCTGCATTATTGGGATTCTATGATTTTATGAAAGCAAAGTGCTGAAAAAACTCAACAGATGTGGTAATAGCCATGGCGAGAGAAACAGAATTAACATATCCATTTGAATATCACTCTTCTTGAGAACTCAGTAACTTCATGGGTTAGTTCAAGTGACCATAAATGTGGCCAAACTGGTTCACCTATGTTCTTCAGAGAAACAACTTGTGCCTATACTTGATCTTGCCCACCTATGATGCTCGCCCCAAATTATTATCTGATACCTTATTACTCAGAGAAAACGTAATGTTGGCTTTCTTGTCTGTGTCTCTCATAAATCAAGAACAAAGACTTAAAAAAAAATCACACTCCTTTGGTTACTGTAAACATGGATTCAAAAATATAGAACATATTGGTTTTGGGAGTGTTAATTTATTTAACAGCAGAAGAAGGAATTTTCATTTTGAATTTTAAAATCATGAACTTACATTTCTTCCAATGCTGAGCAGCCCTGGAAACTTGGCAGTTCCTCTATCTGATTATATGACAAATCCCTGTGAATAATAACATATTATGTAATGAAAAGGCTTGAAAAATACATATATTTCCAATTGATGAAAGTCAAATCCAATTTGGGAATTAAGTATACAAAGTCACCAGAACTTTCAGCAAAGTCCAATGTATTTTTCATAGTTCAGGAAAGCTCGGATCAAGTTTTCAATTCATAATCGCATACAGAAAGTACTGGAAATACTCAGTTGCTCAAGCAGTATCTGTTAGCTGGAAACAGTTAACATTTCAAGTAGCCTTTGTAACAGACTGAAGTGTTAACAATTTCTTCCTTTTTTTTCCTCTTTCTATACACATTGACTAATCTGTTCAGTATTTTCATCTTTTTTCGGTTTCTTAGCTTCAGATTTCCAACATACCCAGTAGTTTGCTTTTATCTCAGGTCATAGATGTTGGAGTTACCCGTGCATCATCCTGAGCCATTTACTTGACAGCTTTTCTCAGTGGCATTTTTGTCATTGTCTCTCTCTCTTTGTCAAGAGCAGGGTGATAAGGCAGGTAACAAGGTGTAGAGCTGGATGAACA